GAACCCTTTCTTTTAAAATGCCTAGGATAATTTTACATTTTCAAAAGGTCCTTTAAAATTTATGTATTTAATAAAAACAGGAAAATATCATAAAATCCTTCACCATAAGTATATATGCCATCAGTATTGATAAAATTATCATATAATTTACATTAGATAATAAATTGAAAATGAGAACATCATAAATGTTATAGGCTGGTGACTGGCTACACCTGTCAGTAGTAAAGAGACACGCCCCCTTTTATGAGCGATCTCAGGCTGAGAGAAGCAGTAAGGACTGATAACGATGAAAACACTATAAACAGGAAAAGTTAGCAACACTTTCTCTGGCTGTACATCCCAGCAGGGTATACAATATTGGTGGAAGTGGTATAGATGTAATATTGGTTTTTGTGGTATCTGTTGGCTATAGTTTTAAACCGTGGGAGATATGTGTGTGGAGTCTGCTATCTGATGCTGTAGTAGTGGAGACACCCAGATGATCTACAGGTAAAAAACTGTAATTTGTATTTATAACATCTGTCTTATCTGGAGAACATCTACAGATAGACCTTTGAAATTGTTTTTCACTGTTCAAGAGGGTAAGTTATTTGTAATTAAGATGTTTAGGCAAGTACGTGCAATGATCTAGAAACTTGTTGTTGCAGTTGGTTACCTGCTTAAAAATATCACCCTCATTTTATTGTTTTCTTTGTAGTTGTCATAGTTGATATATATATATATATATATATATATATTGCTTTGTCATTGTCAACCTTTCCGTCTCTACTCTTCCCCTTCCAGGCCCCTTCTCACATCTGCCATTATCATTATTGTGGTTTCATAATCAACATAATATGATAATAATATTCAGGACAGTTCACCGACTTCCATCTATATATATTCTTACTGTGTATTGGGCAAAGAAGTAATTCCAACAGTGTGGACTGTGTATATATACACACATACATAGCATAGATGTGATACATTTTATTTGATGTTACTCATTTGTACAGCTAGGTGAACTAGAACATTCATTCTTCTTATGGTACCTCTCCTTTAATTAGTGAGCAAGTATTTATTCAACGACTAATTCTCCTTTAATAAGTGAGCAAATATTTATTCAACAACTAATTCTCCTTTAATTAGTGAGCAAATCTCTATTCAACGACTAATTCTCCTTTAATTAGTGAGCAAATCTTGATTCAACAACTAATTCTCCTTTAATTAGTGAGCAAATCTCTGTTCAACATATGTAAAATAAATTAATATACCTGTAGATGTGCATGGCTGTTTACCATTGCTCTAGATGTACCCCCCTAAGACAGTTTTTGTTGCTGGCCAATGTCTTACTGGAAGATCACTTTATTTAACATCACCGTCTGTAATTTTGAAAAACTGCTTAACTGAATGTTACTACACATTTGTGATAAATGTACCTCTGCTAAAATTTCTAAAAGAACCACTTGGCTCAAAATTCAAGTTGTATATGTCACTTTTCCCTTCCCATAAATAAATATAACATATCCCTTATGAATTGGAGCTGAAGGGATAACTTCGTGTTCATAAAATTAACTTCATTTAACTGCGATGTATATGAACGCACAGCGTGACATGGCTAATGAAGAACTTATAATATAAGTGTAAGGTTGGTATGTGACAGTCTGTCATATTTCTAATTCCCCATTTACATGTTAATTTTAGCCTGAGCTAACTGAAGCATTATAATTTTACTATACCAGTCCTCAGTCATAATCAATTCAATGTGCTTTGCAAATGATTCAATAAATTTGAAATTTTGTGACTCAAACATTTTCCATTCCCTCTATATGTTGATGATACTCTTTTACAATTACTAGCTAGCAAATTAAATCAGTTCAAAAAGTGGAATTTACAAACATATTTAAATATTAACTCATTCACCGATGAAGACACATTAGAACTCTTCCAATTCAAAGGTTGGACGAGTCATTATGAAATTTCAGCGGTGAATGAGTTTATGCTGTAGTAAATTTGTAATATGCTACAAACAATATGCCAACATAAACAATTTGACCATGAATAGTTTCAAGAGTCAAAATGCAAGAACATGTCCACCTACAAAAATTATGATGTGCTGGCATGAATTCCTTTTTCATTAAATTGTATACATTAACCTACATTTACATATAAGGTGTCATATGTGATATATAATTAGGATCTTTCTGCACTACAGTTAAATCCCCTGAGAACCTCATTGTGATCAATGTATCATTAGGTGACATTCCAAGGCATTAATTCACATGCAGAGCTCTGCTGCACACACTCATGTAAGACATGCATAGCTATAAAGGTTACAGACAGCAGGACAATTTGTCTGTTTTACATGCCTAGTTCAAAGTAGTTTTATAAAATTGACTGGCTTAAAAAAGTTCCCCACAGGTACTTTAAATACTGATGTATAGGACTGTAAGCTTGCACTCGATCGTCGTCCTTAAATGACCATAGCTGTTGATAGGACGTTAAACAATACTAAACCTCGATCCCCGAGTCCATCCTTAACATTTGTCTGGAGCATGCATCAATATCTCATTTCGCTTGAAGGTTTTAAGTTTGTTTTGTACAAAGCTGGTATTCTATACTATTTCGCTGCTAGTTTCCAATTTTGTATGCAGGTACATTTTCAGATGTCAGCTAGAGTGTCAGACACATACCAAAAGTAGGCCAAATGTGACTTATATTTTGATTATCTAGCTGACCCAAGTCATAGGAACATTTTGTCTGAGGATAATGTCATGGACAAATATGACCTAAATAATTGAAAAATTGGTCAACATCACAAATACCTTTGTTTGCAACAAAACAATTCCACCGTTAGAAAGTATATTGAACCTCTGTATGTTAGCTTACTTTCTGTTCAAGTGGTTGATCCTGATATCAGTGAACAGTTAGGTAAACAAGGGAATTGTTAATGATTGGAGACTATGGATTGTCTCCCAACGCGTTACCTTGTTCAAATCTATTGTTTGGCAGTTTCGGGTAATACTGTAACATGTGTTTATTGACTGGAACAACACAGATGTCGCAAACACAGGGGACGGTAATGATGGAACATTTTCACAGCGTGTTATTGTGTGTCTATTATTACATTGATTGGATCAAGAGATGTGTTTGTTGTGGATAGTTTCAGATTTTAAAATAATTTTAGATTACGAAAACATTCAAGTCAAGGCTAGGTGTGTTTGTATTAACATTGATGTGTTCACTTAACCCCATTAGAGCTTCGTGGATATCATATGAAACCTGACTTTTATGTTATATTATGCCAACAAACTCTGGGCATTCATTTGTGACAAAATTAATATGTAGGGTTAACTGGTGAAATACAACGCTACAATGCTTGCTGTTGGCTGTAGTGTAAATTAATAGTACTGGTTTAAATTTTGAATCCACTTGTAAACCTTTTATATATAAATACTGGACTCATCTAAAGTATGTACTCTAGTCTACACATCATAAACAGGAGATCCGACCTTGTACCCTATTAGGACGCCATCATAAATAGGCTGGACGTCGGGGTCAGCTTTAAGGTGATGGCTATATAACAATGTCTCAATTATTATAAAGAGGTGGTCAAGGGACAAGCAGTGTGTACTGTGTTAGTGTCCATTATAAGTGTTCATATGACCACACACCCCAGTAGGGTGACTATGGTGTGTATAAACTTCCCCCTCTGTGTATAGTGGTCATGGTGTGTGACCACATCCCTCTGTATATAGTGGTCATGGTGTGTGACAACACCCCTCTGTATATAGTGGTCATGGTGGGTTACCACACCCCTCTGTATATAGTGGTCATGGTGTGTGACCACACCCCTCTGTATATAGTGGTCATGGTGTGTGACCACATCCCTCTGTATATAGTGGTCATGGTGTGTGATAACACCCCTCTGTATATAGTGGTCATGGTGTGTGACAACACCCCTCTGTGTATATAGTGGTCATGGTGTGTGACCACACCCTTCTATGTATAGTGGTCACGGTGTGTGACCACATCCCTCTGTATATATTGGTCATGGTGTGTGATAACACCCCTCTGTATATAGTGGTCATGGTGTGTGACAGCACCCCTCTGTGTATATAGTGGTCATGGTGTGTAACCACACCCCTCTGTATATAGTGGACGTGGTGTGTGACCACACCCTTTTGTATATTTTGGTCATGGTGTGTGACCCACATCCTTCTGTATATATATATAGTGGTCATGGTGTGTGACCCACATCCCTCTGTATATTGTGGACGTGGTGTGTGAGACCACACCCATCTGTATATTTTGGTCATGGTATGTGACTACCCCCCCTGTGTATATAGCAGTCATGTTGTGTGACAACACCCCTTTGTATATAGTGGTCATGGTGTGTGACCACACCCCTCTGTATATAGTGGTCATGGTGTGTGACCACATCCCTCTGTATATAGTGGTCATGGTGTGTGACAACACCCCTCTGTATATAGTGGTCATGGTGTGTGACCCACACCCCTCTGTATATAGTGATCATGGTGTGTGCATGACCACACCCCTCTGTATATAGTGGACGTGGTGTGTGACCCACACCCCTCTGTATATTGAAGAGGTCATGATGTCACTTCACCCCTCTCCATTGGTATATATATAGGTTATGGTGTGTGACCACACCCTTCTATGTATAGTGGTCATGGTATGTGACCACATCCCTCTATGTATAGTGGTCATGGTATGTGACCACATCCCTCTATGTATAGTGGTCATGGTGTGTGACCACATTCCTCTATGTATAGTGGTCATGGTGTGTGTTCACACCCCTCTGTGTATATAGTGGTCATGGTGTGTTCAGTAGATAGAGTTTAACAGTGTTTTGACCATTATCCTGTACCTCTGCTACACTGTGATCAGGACTGGACACAATAACACCCCACAATACAGCTGGTGAACAGAATATAAAACACCCAGGTTTACGGACCGCCTCTGTCGACCCACTCAAGCGCTCAGCTTTCTCAGGCTGGTTCAATATTTTCCTTAGTGGTTATCTCGGTTAGATCATCAGTGTGGAAACATGTTTAACAAATGTCCATTTTCACAGTGACAGTGTTTTGACAATAATGGGACCAATATGTTGTTCTGTTTGGAGTAAAACTCTGTGGGATCAGTAAGCAAGCTCAGTGGGATCTGTAGGACGTATACGTACTACAGTACAGGCAGAATACAGTGATCGGTGTTGGAAGTTAGTGAATCACGTTCCAGACATCACAAAACTTACATCAGCTGTGAGAAGATCTGCCTGTGTTTTTATGGGTTCTGATTTTGATTTGACCAGTGCGATAAACCTGGAGTTTAACCTGCAGGCATAACAGTGTACAAGTTAATTACTGTGTAGCTACCTACCGAACTCTTTGTTGTTCATGCCCTATATTGCAGGTAAGACTATAGCTATATACATCTTTTGTGTCTACATTTATGGTTGAGCAGCCATCACCTTTTCATCTAGGTCTTCAACTTTTCTATGATTTAAAAGGGTTATGTGTGTACAGGTAAAAGTTGTGGAATGTTTTAGTTTAGCCTGGATAACAAATAGAGGTACAGATGGTACTATATAGATAGGGGTGTTGGTCCTTACATATATATACTGTATAGGTGAGCCTGCAGTCTATACTACTAAAGAGCTCTTACTCACATTTACATGTTATATGTATGTAGCACATGTGCTTTGTGCCATTTATGATGAATTCGTGCCAGTTAGCTATAGATATAAGTGGAAACTAGGTTGTACAAAGGAGTACTTTCCAATATAGAGGATCATCTGCCCTGGAGAGTCTGTGAGGTAGGTTAATGTAATAATATACCTCAGTTTGTAGTGAAACTTTACCAAAGTAATTTAGAGCGAATAAGTGGAAACTAGCGAGGTTGTACAAAGGAGTACTTTCCAATATAGAGGATCATCTGCCCTGGAGAGTCTGTGAGGCAGGGTAATGTAATAATATACCTCAGTTTGTAGTGAAACTTTACCAAAGTAATTTAGAGCGAATAAGTGGAAACTAGCGAGGTTGTAGAAAGGAGTACTCTGCAATATAGAGGATCATCTGCCCTGGCATGGAGAGTCTGTGAGGTAGGTTAACATAATAATATACCTCAGTTTGTAGTGAAACTTTACCAAAGTAATTTAGAGCGAATAAGTGGAAACTAGCGAGGTTGTAGAAAGGAGTACTCTGCAATATAGAGGATCATCTGCCCTGGCATGGAGAGTCTGTGAGGTAGGTTAACATAATAATATACCTCAGTTTGTAGTGAAACTTTACCAAAGTAATTTGGAGCGAATAAGTGGAAACTAGCGAGGTTGTACAAAGGAGTACTTTCCAATATAGAGGATCATCTGCCCTGGAGAGTCTGTGAGGTAGGGTAACGATATAATATACCTCAGTTTGTAGTGAAACTTTACCAAAGTAATTCATATGTACAGAGAATATATATATTCAATGTAATGCAGTTTTGATGTTTTTGTGCGTAGACGTGTTAAGAAAATATCTCAATCTGCTGAGAAGTAAACATAATTTTGAACTCTCATGCACGGCCATGTTCCGAGTGTCATAATACGTATACGTATACATGAACATAAGTGTTCATCATCATTATACAGGAACATACATCACATCATATATACAGGAACATACATCACATCATATATACAGGAATATACATCACATCAGATGAATTCGTGCCAGTTAGCTATAAATATAAGTGGAAACTAGGTTGTACAAAGGTCACACACCATGACCACTATATACATGTGATGTATATTCCTGTGTATATGATGTGATGTATATACAGGAATATACATCACAACATATATACAGGAATATACCTCACATCATATATACAGGACTATACATCACATCATATATGCAGGAATATACATCACATCAGATGAATTCGTGCCAGTTAGCTATAAATATAAGTGGAAACTAGGTTGTACAAAGGTCACACACCATGACCACTATATACACAGAGGGGTGCTGTCACACACCATGACCACTATATACACAGAGGGGTGCTGTCACACACCATGACCACTATACATAGAGGGATGTGGTCACATACCATGACCACTATACATAGAAGGGTGTGATGTGATGTATATTCCTACAGGAATATACATCACAGCATATATACAGGAATATACCTCACATCATATATACAGGACCATACATCACATCATATATCCAGGAATATACATCACATCAGATGAATTCGTGCCAGTTAGCTATAAATATAAGTGGAAACTAGGTTGTACAAAGGTCACACACCATGACCACTATATACACAGAGGGGTGTGAACACACACCATGACCACTATATACACAGAGGGGTGTGAACACACACCATGACCACTATATACACAGAGGGGTGTGAACACACACCATGACCACTATATACACAGAGGGGTGTGAACACACACCATGACCACTATATACACAGAGGGGTGCTGTCACACACCATGACCACTATATACACAGAGGGGTGTGAACACACACCATGACCACTATATACAAAGAGGGGTGCTGTCACACACCATGACCACTATATACACAGAGGGGTGTGAACACACACCATGACCACTATACATAGAGGAATGTGGTCACACACCATGACCACTATATACACAGAGGGGTGCTGTCACACACCATGACCACTATACATAGAGGAATGTGGTCACACACCATGACCACTATATACACAGAGGGGTGCTGTCACACACCATGACCACTATATACACAGAGGGGTGTGAACACACACCATGACCACTATATACAAAGAGGGGTGCTGTCACACACCATGACCACTATATACACAGAGGGGTGCTGTCACACACCATGACCACTATACATAGAGGAATGTGGTCACACACCATGACCACTATACATAGAGGGATGTGGTCACATACCATGACCACTATACATAGAGGAATGTGGTCACACACCATGACCACTATATACATGTGATGTATATTCCTGTAGGAATATACATCACATCAGATATACAGGAATATACATCACATCATATATACACAGTGTGTTTTATATGTTACATATAACACCTATTAGTATATATAAATATAGAGCTCTTGCAAATTGCTGATAATGTACATGTGGTTGTGTAGAAATAGCAGAAATTGCTAATGTTATAGATTTTCTCTCAGGAATAATTGCATTATATAATAAAATCAAATGTTGTTGATGTAATGTGCTTGCTGTTCTTCTGTGAGTTTGAAAGCAGTAAACAACAAATTGTTTATTTGATGCCTGAATAGTTTTATAGTTTAAAATGTAAGTTGCTCTGAAAAGCAATAGAATAGATGCATGTATACAAGAATATAATATTGGGACAGATTCTCACGTTAGAGGTGGTCTGACTCCCAGACTATAATTAAATTGCGTATACATTCTGAACAGTATAGATGAAGTACCAAGGTATATAGATTGGGTGGATAAATGTTTGTTTGTGGAGAGTGGGTAAACTTAATCATCCCACTGATAACAAGTATCATGTACATGTCATAAGTCAGCCGCGTATATATAGCTCTGCACAATTCTGCTGGTGCATTGTATCGATTATAGCGATGAAGTTTCTGGGAATCTTTTACATTTTATCTTGTTTGTAGGCTTACTGCAGCAAACATACAAGTTTATTCCAGTAAACTCAACATGCTAAGTGGAATTTGAAATCACCTTTTACCGACAAGCTGAGGTGAAAAGTGACAGAATTTTCCATTTGTATGCTGATACAGAGTTATTTTGTTTGAGTTTGTTTTTGTCTGTCTGTTCTCAGCTGATGGATTATTTCCAACAGCACACATTGCTGTAATGGTATTGCACATCCTTTTTTTTGGCCCAAACAAAATCTTTCAATTTGCATCATCAATAAGCTTGGGGCAAGAGGGAATCGAGGCAATCAGCATATGCCAGTGAAATATCTGTTATCTCTAGCTCTCTGGTGGGTGGGGGTGGTGGCAATCTGATTAAGGCTGGATGGGAAATGGAAACTATATGAGAGGTGGGGACAGGGTGATACTTGATGCTGGTTTGGAGTTCCAGGAAAATCCCCCGATATAAAAGCTGCTGCATAAGTTTGTATTGTTTGTTTCGGTATGTCAATGACTATACTTATTTCGTATCAGGAAAAACACATATATGACTAAACCAATATGTCACAAACTTTGTAAAATGGAGAGTGTTTGTTTTCTTGTGAGTATATGTTTGGAGTAAATGAGAAGAGTTAATATGATTGATAGTGACATTTAGTGGTAGTCACATTTATACAGGCTGGTTGTAACATAAGGTGCAGTGCTATGGTGTGGTAGGCTATAATGCCCCAGTGACAGATCTACAGCTGAGTGCAGTATCTTTGCTGCACCGCCATGGTTACGCTAGAGTGCAAAACTGGGGAGAACATTGCCATATGTATTATTACTACTGGCACTGGCTATGTAAACAGCTAGTGTATTTACAAGTCTTTAGGTGGACAACAGATCTCAAAAATACAACTGGATTGACTAGATTTGTACACACTTTCAGAACTCTATACTATATTGTAACTAACTTCATAACAGTTCATCTTTTAGATTCTTGAATTTAGGAGTATAAAACTGAAGTCTACATTTTATACAGCACTATTTTAAATATTTTGAGATGGAGAGTTATGCCTCAGCTTCTGTAGGTATGTGAGACAGCTATACTGATCAGCCTCTGTAGGTATGTGAGACAGCTATACTGATCAGCTTCTGTAGGTATGAAAGACAGCTATATACTGATCAGCCTCTGTAGGTATTAGAGACAGCTATACTGATCAGCCTCTGTAGGTATGTGAGACAGCTATACTGATCAGCCTCTGTAGGTATCAGAGACAGCTATACTGATCAGCCTCTGTAGGTATTAGAAACAGCTATACTGATCAGCCTCTGTAGGTATGTGAGACAGCTATACTGATCAGCCTCTGTAGGTATTAGAGACAGCTATACTGATCAGCCCCTCTAGCAATGTGAGACAGCTATACTGATCAGCCCCTGTAGGTATGTGAGGCAGCTATACTGATCAGCCACTGTAGGTATGTGAGACAGCTATACTGATCAGCTTCTGTAGGTATATGAGGCAGCTATATACTGATCAGCTTCTGTAGGTATGTGAGACAGCTATGTACTGCTCAGCTTCTGTAGGTATATGAGACAGCTATATACTGATCAGCTTCTGTAGGTATGTGAGGCAGCTATACTGATTAGTCCCTGTAGGTATGTGAGACAGCTATACTAATCAGCCTCTGTAGGTATTAGAGACAGCTATACTGATCAGCCCCTCTAGCAATGAGAGACAGCTATACTGATCAGCCCCTGTAGGGATGTGAGACAGCTATACTGATCAGCCTCTGTG